GGGGGGGGGGGGAGGCGTGCTATGTCTTTGGTGCCAGTTGAGGTACGATCTACAGCAGCGTCTGTGGGGGCGATATTGTGTACTTCGTGACCGCTCAACGCCTTTGCAGTTGCATGGAACGAACAACCAAGAGTGCCGCCTGAGAACACTACGCAAACACCCTGGGAACACAAAAGGCACCATAAATTTGAGATAATCGCAAGAAACTACCTATGCATAGCAATAGAACGAATCAGCTCGGGAGACCAACCTGTACGCCCTGCCTGCTGAGAGCCCCAGCAAGGTTCTCGTGTGCTCCAAGGGGAAACTTCCACCGCCTCTCCTGGACGCAACCAAACACCAGACACTTGTAACTGATGAGTTGTTAGTGCGCTACTCTACTCGGAATGATTTACGTGATCTCAAACCAAACGAACTGGCGCGAAACCAAAAAACATAACCCCTAGAAAGTGTCTCAAAACGTCACGATCGTTGCAAGTCCATGGAGCGAAAGGAAGCGCAGCGTGATGATTCGAATCACATGTCGAAAAGAATTGGCTGCACGTTCGTCGTGCTATACATAGATCAAGATCAAACGATCCATTGCCATCAGACCTTCTCGTCGTAGGTCGCCCCCGGCGTCAGCTTGAAGTACGTGTGCACGGCTGCTGGTGTTGGTTTTCGAATCTGCAAGGCAAACAGAAAAAAAGAAGATAAACACGAATCCAACAAGGAGATAATCGCGAAAACAACGTTGGGGGCAATATTCGTGCCAATGCTCTTACATTCACCACGACACTAGGTACTGTCAAAGTCATGTGTACCTCATAACATGGTTCTGAAGAGATCGCGGGCGAAATTCAATGCATGCGTGCCCCCGCATCACTACATACCTTGGCAGTGAAGAACGAAGTGGAGATGAGCGAAAAAGTGACTGTCCCCGCCTGATTCTCATCAGCCTCGTATTGTGAACGCTCCTCATACCGTGGTCTTTTCATTCCTGCTTGCACATTACCGTAGTCCGGCAGCTGCCATTCGTATCGTCAAAGCACATACAAATGAAAGATGTCAGACGTATATATGCCATGATAGGTATGGAAAGTGAAACCAGACGAGGGACAAAATAGCGGACCACTGCTGTCAGTGCCTCTCACAGTAGCAAGGTCGATCACCTTCGTATCGCCCGTCGCTCGACAGCATACATACCAGAGAGGCACGCTTGTGTCTACACCACACCTTTCTGTGGCCGGCGTTCTGTGGGTAGGGCAACTCTTGCTGCTGGTGCGACAAGCCGAGAATGCCCTGGGCAGCCCCTCCCATCGCTGCTCCACGCTGGAGATGAGAATGCACTCCGGTCTGAGGGGCAGCGGGAGGGTCAACAGGCACACGCACTGGCTTCAGCAAAACCACCAAGTAACCGTACTGCAGAGGCGGCAAGCAATCGACCGTTGAATGGCGAATGACGACAACAGTGAGAATAGTCTACGGATGCACACAAGTCTCAACGACACACAGGCCACCATTCGTATGTGGTGGTCAGATTGAGATCATCTGTCAGAAAAAGCGTACATATCCTATGAATGCAGCCAAGCATTACTTACCCCGGGCTGCTGGTGTTGGTACTGGTGCTGCTGATGCGGCGGAAGCAACTGCTGTGCGCTGTGCTGCTGCTGCTGCTGCCTTTGCGTGAACGCTTGGTGCGCATGCCAGCTTTGCTGTTGATCAATACTCAGCTGCAGAGGTGTGACGAGCGATCGATAACCGAATTAGACAGGAAAAACGTTCCACCGTGAGCTGCATGCTTAAATGCGAGCGGGTATCGAGTGAATCACAGGCAACACGATTGAAATCACGACCCCATGACACGAAAAGAGAGCAAGTTCGACTGCCAAGGCATGGCGTTCCAAACGGCGTCATACCGGGATTCTCAAGGTCAACGAGAAGCTGAACGACCTGCCTGAGCATTGGCCGCAACCGCGGCTGACGACGGGCCCGAGCAGGCTGCCGCCGGTGCTGCGGCGTCGTCCGTCAAATCGATGGCCTCGCCGGCGGCGCTGGCAGCCGGAGGAGGTAGGTGTGGGGCAATCGGAGGCGACAGAGGCGACAGAGCAGGTGGCTGCCGGAGGGGGGAGGGCGGGGGGTACAAGACCACACGGCATGGTTGCGGCTTGAGCAAGGACCCATAGACCAGGCATGAGACTTGCTACAGGCTTTGGTCATTTCGCGACCGTACGAGATGCAGTATTGAGATTTCGCAAGAAAAATCGATGCGATCGTGGGCACAAAACTAGCAGGTCTCCAGCTTGGGTCGTATACCAGTCTGCGATTCCACACCATCTGGCATCGGCGATGATGCATCCATCACCTGCATGCCCTGCGCCAATGCATATGCCTGCGCCTGGCGCTGAGCCATTTTCATCATCCCTCCCTGGAGCGCGTGGCCACCCTGGCAACATGTGTTTCAAGTACAGGACACGGGGAGTGTAAACAAAGACATGCAGCTCGTTCTTCATGCCGCAAGCCTTACCTAGAGCGTATATGGATACAGCAGCCTCGCATGTAGCCTCACCGCCCCGGGTAGTGCACGCGGGAAAGTATGCCTGGGGGAGTAGGAGCACAGTCATCGCCGGTCACTCCTACCTCCTACCTCATAAGGCGACAGGACTGTAGGTGAAAGGTGAGTAACACCAAAAGGTAAATCAACAGCCGACAACTGCCGAGGTTAAATCAAATATCAATATTGCGCTTCTCACCTGCACGGAACCACCATTGTGTGCGTGAACTCCGAATGGTAACTGTGGATGGTGACGCGGTTGATTTGGTTCAAGTCCAAGGTTCGCTCCGTGGAGTAGCTGCTGCTGATGCAGCAGGCCCCAATTGTGCTGCGGCTGCGGCTGTTGCGGCTGGGACTGCTGCTGTTGCGGCTGCTGTTGCTGTCTCTTGTCGTTTCTACGCTGCAACCATCTTTGAGCGAACCGGCGGTATTTATCGAATTCAGTGAGCCGTAGTTGTTCGAGCTGCTTGGTCTTCATGTGGTCCGCTGGCATCCCCAACAAGATGTACGCAGGGGTGGTGCGCATCTCCTGGCACGAGGCAACACATTCGGTGGATAGCATTGCGCACCGGAAATGAGTGCAGTTCCCGATTACAGCGCGGAAGCAACGATGAACTTCATGGCTTGTTGAAGTATTGAAATACAACTACCGAGCCCTCTGTGCCATGGTTGTAAGTCTGGGAAGGACGTGTTACAGAACTCACAAAGACTTGGGGCATGTGATGTACAGAACTTCATACACACCTTCGAAATTTTGGGCATGTTTACACACCTACACCGTGCGGGAACCCGCACCTCGGAGTTTGCAAAACAAGGGGAATACCCGGTCATTACTTATCCTATTTTTGGGGTATTTTTCATTGCATTTCTACAGGCACCTTGTTCATGTTCCACGTGGTATATAAAGATCACGTAAGTGCCAGGTTGGGTTTGGCAGTCTTCCAGAACTCACAGCAATATCGAGTAGGGTACCGGAAGGGTTACAGACTCAACACGAGGGTCGGATACAGGTGGATATCCGGAAAAACAACCCCCGGTGTGTCTCTGTACGTACCCGAAAAGAAAAAGGTTTCTGCGACAACGACCACCTCGGGGATAAACAAGAGGGAAGGGAAGGTCTCAACAAAAAAGGAAAACGTGCCCCGAATTGATGACACCACACATACGCACTCAAGAAAAAGGTTTACGAAACAAACACTCCTTCGTCAGATACAACTCTTCAAGACCTTAGAACGGACATTTGAACTGCGCTCATATCCCCTCGATCGCCGAATCACAGCGGGTTCGTGTCTGATACCGTCGAGCTGATTAGTCATGCCCCCTCAAAACGGACAACATCCTGTGTACTTGTGATACTTTTCCGCGGAGGAGAGAAAAAAATCGGCGAAAACCACACCTTACGAGCAGCGAGCGACAGCATGCCGTTCAGCCGATCTCCCGCAGCCACCGACCAGTGGAAGCAGATATCCATCCCCGTGTGCTATCCAGAGCCACTCACAAAACACCTTTACCTTTGCAGATTTATGAGATTCATCAAGGTGAGAGGCACCGATACTCATATACGATCGTGCGCTTTGAACTTACCTTTTCAGCGTCATCAGATCATCACGCACAATGCATATGTCCGCTCAAGTCATTTGCTGGCATCCAGCACCAATGCAACTCATGCCAACGCACCGAGTTTGCACCCGTTTCTGCGGTCTGTCAGCCTTGTCGTCTTTGTCATCAGTAACGGTCTGTGCAGCCAGGTTTTGAGGTCAACGCCAAATTCTCCAACTAGCGAATTATTGCGGGGAATTTGGAGGCGCGAGTGGTACCGCTCTTGCCGAGAGCCCCAAACCTGTACCATTCGGCATACTTGTTTTCTTTCACCCCTTCGTCGCAAAAAATGTGCAAGGTATGTTGGACAACCTGAGCATAAAATGAATTTCGGCCCGGTTGTTGCAGCAAGACAATCAAGGCATGCCAAGGAGGAATCGTGCTCTAATTTTCTTGGCTGGAAACCGCGGTGCCTTCTAGGCGGCTTTCTTCCTTATTGGCCACGTTGGGGGAGGGGGGAAAAATCATCGGCTGGGAGAATATGTAACGCATGAAATTTTTCACGATACTGTATTCCAGATAATCTTACCGTGCGCGATACTAAACGGCTTAGGACACTCGCTCAAGCTGGCTGGTCAAGATAGCAACGATACCGAGTACATCAGCTCGTTCAGTGCACTACATATCTCACATGCTCTGCCTGTGCCGCCCGTAGGACGTCAGCTCCGCCGTTCGGCGTTGACTCAGGACTGGAAGTGCTCGTACCAGCTGCAGTCCCTGCTGCTGCCGGTCCCATCACGCCCGCATGATCAGGGGGTTTTCGCTGTGGTGTCTCCACTTGCGACGATTCTTGTTGCGCTCCCCCCGCCGCTGGCAACAATTCAGCAACGGGCCCCTTCAGTTGCTCATGAGGCGAGTCGGTCGTTGATGTGTGCGAGTGGGCACGCTCCCCCCCGTCTGAGCCCGCCTCCTCCCGACCAATCGAGTGCTGTGCATCCCCGCCCCCGCCTTCTGAAAAGGGTGTGTGTTGTCGCAGGAAGGAGGGCTGGGGGGTCAATCCTTTTGCCGTTGCACTCATGCGTTTGCCGGTGCACTCATGCGCGAGCGAAACCATGATTCGCCTCGTTCCCCAGATCATCTACTTGTACAAACCACCAGCTACATCCTTTTCGATGTTACTTGAAGCCTCTAGATTAGAACGATCTTGCTTTAAACAATCAATTGAAGCTTTACCTTTATTCATTCAAATTCAAGCAAGTCACCTGGATGCCCTTCAAAACCATAATCTACGTAGATCTGGATGATTAGAAAAGAATACTCCAAATCCCAAATTTCACGCTCCCGCCAAATAGCGGAAGGAAATAACCTACTACTAAAGGAAAAGGTTACAAAATTGAAGTAACAACGACAACCAGAGGTACAGCGTACAACAAGTACGATACTGCCGCACTGCCGCACGCAAGCATTGATATATTCAGATATAGATGCATTCAGTCACTGACAGACGTCACAGTCGAAGGGGATTGTGTTGAAAGCCTTTGTAGCAAACCCCTGAAAAAAACGAAAAATAATGTCATTGATGATAGAGGCCAGTTCAGCGAGGAGGGCAGAAATTGCAGGGGGTGAGCGGGCAAATCGTGTCGGCTTCAAAATTAAAATAGGTCATGCAAAAATGACCTCTTCAGTATAAAATGAATGGCAGCACCACCATGCGAACTCACTGCTGTCCGACGACATCACACCAGTGGCAATGAATTCTGCAATAATTGCCATAATCGTTGCATGGGCCAGTTTCGCGAAGAGGGAAGAAATGTCGAAAGGGGATACTGCAGTCGGGCAAATGCCGCTTAAAAATTTAAAAATGACCATGCAAATCTGACACTTAGCGTACTGCTGTACAATCACAGCACCACCACACAAATACGGTCTTCGCATCAAGGACAACCCCCTGTTGTTCTTGAACGTATGGATGAGCCCGAGTAAAACGAATCGATATGAGACGCATCAATACACGCGGTCAACGCCCGCTGCGTGCCTGACTTGCAACCGCAGGCTTGTCCCAGCGAGCAACAGCTTTGTAGTGAGCAGCAGTGTCGACTCTACATACACCAGCAGGGATCGATCGCTGCGGCCTTTGGCGCCTTCCGCAAAGGACCAAGTATTCCCAGTCACACGTAAGACAGTTTTCACCTTTGATACCCACATCAGGGTTCGATGTTGTGTCCATGTTGTATTGGTCATCAGTTACGCGGGTGAGGTGGTGCATGCTAACAGATCGTGCACACTTGCGGTGGCCCAGCAGAATCATGAGGTGGCCAAAAGGAAGACCAATAACCAGAAACGGGTATACCCGGTACTTTAGTCAGAAATCAACACGCTTGCACCCCCAGGGCTGTCAGCTGATTGGCCGAAAAACCATTATGCCCATTTCTGAAGGAACCTCCATCGGGTACAACTTCTGCTGGAACTAGGACCCTCTGGTGTGACCGATATTGGTTACTGGCGTACCCGGAAGGGGTCGATTGTGTACCCAGAAATGGTCATGTAATCCCGGCGCCCGACGCTCTAGCATTCAACACCCAGAAAAAAACTTGTACCGCACATACCGTGTACCGCATATACATAACCACAACCAAACCACCAACGCTCGCTCGTTCAACGTTCATGCGCACCGCCTCCATAGGATATCGGCCCCTCTCAACAGAGGGTTGAACTCGCTTGACGCGCGAGTACTTCTGTGTGGTGCTGATCAGTGAAAGGTCAGAGAGAGAGAGGGACAGAGAGAGAGAAAAACGGGCACGACCTGCCTCGTGCATCATGCTTCCGAGGCACAGGACAAAGGACACAGACAGCAGGCGGCGGTTTATTGGTTTCGCCGCGATCTACGACGGATGCTGTCGGAGATTGGTGTTGTGTTGATTTCCATGTCTTCCATGTGTGCGCTGAAATGGTGATAATCCACCCGGGTATACCCGTTTCTGGTTACTTCTCCCCAAAGAATATCGTGAAAGTCTCCGCGGGGAGCCCCATGCGGGCGTTGAAGCAGCAGACAGCAGAGCAGCAGTGCTGAGCAAGGGATCACTGCGCTGTGAGTAACACACACACCCTGGAGCCCGGAAGGTTAGCGGAATGCGGGGCTGGAGTGTGGTGTCGTTATTGTCCATAATGCGTTCGTGGAGGCGGTGTGCCGTCGCATATGCCACTCCGTACACCTGCTGCGCTTAATATTCTGCGCTTTGTTACAACATACAACATAGTAATGTTCTTGCCCTGTTTATGACGCAGTTCGTCTAGAAGAAGACAGCACTACTGTACCAAAGCAGTATGCTCCGGCAACCTCGCGTGTGACAAAGCTGCTGTTTAAAGATTCCACATGCATGCGATGGTGGTGTTTCCCACACGTTAGTACACACTTTGTGACTTGAGTAAATATCACCTAATAATAGTAGTCTATTCAGATCCGTGTGCGTATGCAGATTGGTACATGCAGCAGTGTAACCACTGACGATCATGTTTTTCACTTTTTGTGGTGCTACGATGTACAGCTGGTTTCCCTCCATTCACTGTAAAGACTTGAACACATCCTGTTCGACTGTGGTCAATATCTCGAATGGGTAGTCTTTCTGTGTATTTTTGTTTTAATGTACTTCGAAGTTCGTACTGCTGTACAAAACTAGAGCTGCACATGAATACCCGGTCGCCCCGGTGGTCTAGTGGGAAGCCTCGCAGCCTGCTACGGGCCAGGTCATGGGTTCGAGTCTCGACAGAGTGAGTCTTCTTTTAATTACATCCTGGTCTCCATTGGAAGCGACGCGCTGCAAAGCTCGTTGGTAGTACGCTTGATCGACTTCATAAGTCGCGAGGGAAGGGATTGCTGTACCTTCTCGCGATAAAAATACCTCAGGCAGGAACCGCAGGAGGGGGTCCAACCCCCCCCTCTTATGTGACCCCGGTTGGGTCGTCTAGCTGGTAGACGTGGAGTATAGGGGGCAGACGGGCAGACGACAGAATCCAATGATGGGAGAAAAGAAAAATCTCGAGTACAACGGCGCTTCGCGAACGAACGCAATCGGCGGTCGCCGATGCGCTCGTAGGTTGCATGGCGACGGCAAGTGTGTGCGGGTTGAGTTTTGAAAGGAGACAAACGAAGACGAAGGTGTTGTTCATGAAAAGTTGTGCGGTGAACATCGACAGGGAGCTGAATACAAACAAGGTTCGAGCGTGTACGTACTTCACGGCAACCTTGAGGACTTGTCGAAGTAAAAATTTGGAAGACGGGCATGCATAAGGTTTCAATCCATTTACTGAACAGACTTCACCACATCCCTTTCGACTGAGGTTATATCTCGAACGGGTAGTCTTTCTGTGAGGTTGTGTTTACTTTCTACAGATCGGTACGACAATGCCGCAGATCTCGAATGGAGATGACAGCGAAAGCTAATACGGCAACCTACTTGACAAATGAAATGTGGAAGACTCGTGCGGACGGAAACCGAAAGCTGGTTATGTGTGTGTTGCGTGTGTGTTTTCGTCCTACTGAGTATTTATGATGGCGACAGTCCCCCCATTTTCGTGGTGAGCGTCTACCACACCATTCAGAGAATGTACAGTAGTAGTACGCTTTTCAGTGTAATTTTCAAAGAAAGTAAACATAACCTCACAGAAAGACCTGCCATTCGAGACATAACCTCAGTAGAAAGGGATGTGGTGAAGTCTTTTCAGTAAGTGGTTTGAAAGTGGATTTTTGTATGTTGTACAAAAACGCACACCAAAGGCAAATTAAAAATCTCGAACGGGTAGTCTTTCTGTGAGGTTATGTTTACTTTCTAAAAATATAAAATCGAAGACCATGTATACTGACACAGCGAGCTACCTTACAAACGTGGAAGAAGACCCTAGTGTATGGCGTCGGTACGAGAAAGCCGCAGGTCTCGCGGGGCGATGAACACAAAGACTACCCTATGCAGTCATATACGTTGTAGCACTTTGTGGTAGAGTGTTTCATGGAAGTCCATGGAATTCCATGAAGCGTTCCATGGAATTCCATGAAGCGTTCCATGGAAAGGTCCATGGAGAAGTCCATGAGATTCCATGAAACATTCCTTGGGAGTCTATGGAAGGCCGTGGAAAAAATGAAAAATGTCATGGAATGGAATGGAAGCCCGTCGAAGTCCAAAAAAGATTTCATGATTGTTGTTTTGTCTTCGCATCAAAAACCTTTCCGATCTCTCTACAGTACCCACTGCCTTGGTTTGTCCGTACAGATCAATACCGTTTGCGAAATGTGTCGCGGGCATTCATTAAAGATTCCGTGGAACCCCACGAACGCTCATGAAACACTTCATGGATGTACATTGCCCACGTTCCATGACACATTCCGTGGGCGTTGGGCGTTCATGAATGACTGCATGTTGTCAGATGTCCATGAAATTCTACCATGAAATGTTTAACGACACGTTTTGAAATATTTTCATGAAATTTTTTCATGACAAAATATGTCATGGACATCCATGGAAATATTGACGAACGTTCGTGGAATTCCGTGGACTTGCATGAACAAAAATGATACGGAATAAGGAAGGGGAGGGAAGGAAATAAACAACCGCCTCCAGAAGCGAACATGAGACATGGGACTGAGATGATGAGGAATGGTCCACGCGAAAGATAAGGTTGGCTCTTTCTCCTGCCACTTTTCACACCACGCCGCCCAATGGGGTCTCTCTGGTTTTTTGGGTCCGCCACCATTGTTTGTTTATGCCGAGCGGCAGTGCTGTTATGTGCCGATCGTGTAAGGCGACGGGAGTCACGACGTGTGTGTGCATTTGACACTAGCGGGGAGCGCGTGCACCAGTCTTGAAGATCCGGAAATTTTGATAGCATAGTAAAAAGAATACTACGAGTGACGCATTGCAAACTCCGGGTTCCTGGTGTTCGGGGTCCATATCTCCAGGAATTCCTGAAGATCGAGTTTGCAATGTCAACCGGTCTATTCTATTCGCCAAATCACCAGTGGATCTTCCATGCCCGATGAAATCATGGGAGGACAGTTTTGCCCCCGATGCCCGATGGTGATTTCATCAGGAAGGATCTTCACCACTGCTGTGCCCGCTCTCCCCGCTCTCATTTCTTCGTCAACTCAAGCACCACTCCGCCCAGCTACAGCAGTACATCATCAGCAATACCAACAATTCCGCCAGACGATCGGCACCTAACAGCGCTTCCGCAGGTGTAAACGAACAATGGTAGCGTACACACATACTTCGATACAGCTCATCAGGCATCGCGGTGTGGAAAAAGACAGCAGGAGCACAGCGCGAACAGCACCTAGCCGTCCCTGCGTGTTGCGTGGGCAATGGCGTCATGACATCGCAGGTCTCGTATGTTCCACTTACTCACCTCGTCCACCGCCCTACCTATTCTGGTCCTGTGAAGGACACCATGAAGTATCGTTAGGAGACTCTCTTGCCGACGGCGTCACCAGCACCAACACGTCGACTCCGCTCTCCCTTGCTGCTGCTGCTGCTGCTGAAGCAAGACTCTTCATCTCACCGGTACCTTTTATATTATATCATCTTTTTTCTTGCGTTTTTCTTTCATACATACATGTATTGCGATATTTTCAACCATCAACATCATCGAGAGTGCGTAGCCAGAGACCTGATGTGCACCAGGTCTGTTGTTACTACTAATGTTGTTGTGCTTTCACATACGGTGGGGATTGGGCCATGACGGGTGTGTTTCTGCTGATGGTGCGAGACGTAGCTGCGTTTCCAACGGCAAGACTCCAATAATGTGAGGTTTTCCAACGGCAAGAAGAAGAGCCCCTTCGACGAACACTCTCACGCGTTGTGTTGTTGTGTATGTTGCCAGAGAGATAGCTGTTACTGCTGTGTTTTCACGTACAGGGGAGATTGGGCAATGACCGGTGGTTTCTACGGATGTTCGAGACGTTGCTGCTACGTTTACAGCCGCTGTGTGCGTGTGTGCATATGCATATACAAGGCGTCCCTCCGGAGTGGGGTAAAGAGAGCACCGCGGCACGGGGTGATGCAAGAACATGCAAAACGCAAACGAAGATATCGATTATAGAGTACACACTGTTCGTTCCGTCCACACTCCGCATTTGCCGTGGTTCTTTCTGATGCTGCGTCTCCCACCGCCGCGGATTCCAGGCCGCCAAACGACTTGGAATTCATCAGAGTCGTTTTGTCGCCCAGGAAACACACACACACACCCTCGCCACAGGCGGGCGAAGAAGCATTGTATTCGTGCGCTTAGCATGCAAACAGTATATTGTAGCGCAGTGAACGTAGCATCATTGGTGTGTGTCGCAGATTCCGGAGAAAAGAAGAGGCCACATGGATGTGGATGGATTTTTTGTGAAACAGGAAGGTGGGGCGGATCGAATGAATCCACAGACAGGAGCAGCGCGCGCGCGTTTGCGTGTTTTTCAAACATTCGAAGAAAGATGGATACACGTAAGCAGATAGCCAAACTATCACGCAGTACATACAGACAGAACCACTCATGGACGTACTGTGCATCCACCACGACGGGGGGGAAACCTAATCAAATAGACGGGTGGTGAACGGAAAGACAATGCATAATTCGAAACGAACTCACGTCCGCAGCGACCTGGGTGCAGAACTATTTTGTCACTATTTGTTCTACTTTCACATGCATGCAACGTCGTTCTATGTTCGGTCCAACGTTCCAACTTTGTGCAAGCTGAGCTGCTGCGGGTCGTGGGTGCTTGTTAGCTACAGTATGTACCACAGCGTTTGTTTGCCTGTGCCTCATGAAGGGTGAGAGCCAGGGAGGTTGAATAATGCAATATGAGCAGCCGAGACCCGAGGAGCAGAATAAAACAGCAGCTGCAGCACAGCGGCACAAACGTGGGAGTCGATGACACCAGTAGAAAAGAGGAAACCAACAAACAGGCGGCGGGTGTTGTTCTGAGTTGAAGAGAGGGCAACTGGGACCGACCGACAGACAGCTAACCTCGCACCATCAATCAGCCGCGCTTTGAGCCACAACGGCGTCCCACCCCTTATAGTGCTACAGTCAGTACTTGAATGGCCTACCCGCTTTACTAAGCGGTTCAAGCCTTTCTCGCGGGCGGGCGTGTTTGTTATGTTCGTCCAGCGTGCGCAACCATGAGTACAGACGCGTGCGTTTTTGAAAACTGCTGTAATACGGAGACCTGTGACCAAGCAAGGTCTTCTTCGCTGTTGTACCCGCTACTGCTGTGCTGGAACGACGAAAAGAATGTTACAGCTGCTTCAACGAACATGAAAGAGTCTCCGAGTCGAAAAGTCGCCTGGAAACAGAAGGGAAAACAACACCCGAACAGCCTCCACTGATTACGACCAGCCAACACATTTTTTTTTTTTCCCATCATTGGACTCTGTCGTCTGCCCCTCTGGCCCTTATCCTCCACTTCTACCATCTAGACGACCCAACCGGGGTCACAAAGGAGGGGGGGGTCGGACCCCCTCCTGCGGTTCCTACCTGAGATATTTTTATCGCGAGAAGGGTACAGCAATCCCTTCCCTCGCGACTTGTGAAGTCGATCAAGTTTACCAACACATGTACAACTGTAAATATATGCATGTTTTGACGTTTATTTTATTTATTTTGGTGCGCGGAACGTGTGCGCAGCTTGTTGAGGTTCTGAACTTCCGATTCGCATGGCCGGACACGTCATTATTTCTGGTAATGGGACGTACAAACACCAGGACCGCAATCCAATTTGCCTCTATCCCGATGAAGTCACGAGGACGCGTACACAGTCAATATCACCCTAGCACCAGGAAGCTCGAGTTTGCAAGGCGCCAAAGGTATTGAGTCGTACCCCGCGCCTCATTGCCCCTCCCTACTAAAGAGTGCTGTGCCGACACGGTTGCGGGCGAATTGCGGGCGAACTCGCCATCATTCGAAAGCCATCACCTTGATTTTTCATGCCACCCTTTTAAGCTCACGTAGACCTTACCACCTCATGCCACACGGGCGTTCACCATTCTATCACGTCCAATCAGTATTAAAGTGCGGATCACTTCCGCATTTCATCACATCACACCTGATACAGGGGTAAACCCAAACCATGTTTTGTTCATACCCTACTGCATTCACGCGGAGGCCGACATGAGGACCTGAGCGAAATATACTTTCTGAATACGAATTCCCCCAACCTATTATTGCGGCGAAAGGGGTTTCGAGGTATCCACCTAACACCAACTCTTCAGGTGTCTCTTTAGGTGTTTTAGGATTTCCGTGTACGATAAAGTGTTATTTTGTCGATCGTGGAGACCTCCTTCGAAAAAGGTGCACAAGGCCGATGCACGAAGAATCTCAAGCTGTGCGAATGAAGCATCACGCCTGTCCTGGCGGTAGGTGTGCTACAGTATGCGGACAATTTACATTAGTATGGGCACCTATGGACCTGGAGTACTTGTAAAATTTGTGCAGTGTTAACTTTGTCCATGAGGTGTTACCAGCAATAACCATCAAGAAGACGACGAGAATAGCGGGAGATGGTGTCAGAGGTGGCGACATGTGTGTTGCTGTTACTTTGTAGAAGCACTTCACAACACACAGTATCGAGGGTACGTTGGCTCTGGCATAGTGTATGTCACCCTCGCGGCGCCCAGATGGACACCTCACGCTACTCGCTCAGAGTACATGATATCCAAATCCACACCATTCTGACAGATTGTTCCCGTCTTTTCTGCTGTGCCGGCAGCTCGATAACGTTTTGCGGCACTTCGAGCAAAAATGCACCGCGCAGCAAGTGACTCTGGGGAATCACGAGGTCACTCCCGAGATCCTGGCAGCAGCGATAGCGATGAGGAAGACACGAACGTTGACACCATGGATATGCAAGAAGCCGGTAAGATGACAGTCCCACCGCGACACCCTCTTTGTTCTGGTGGTGGTGGTTGAAGTACAGCAGCTAAAACACAGCGATTTCGTGTGGTTAGAGGTATCAAGCACCCTCGCGGAGTTGTCTTGTACTGGCTGGCTCCACTCAGTCTCCCCTGATTAACTCTAAATGCGAATCATGGACGAAAAAGGCTCGACAACACTTTGGAAAGCTGTTCTTTTTTCTGAATAGCACGTGCTACCTTTTTTTTCACGGAGATGCAGGAGCTGCGACGTAGACCCTCTATCGATCCCTAACAGGCTTGTTCGACGTTGTGGTATTCGCCACAGGTACACTGGAATATACTAGAGTTGGAGATGGAATAGTTTTTTGTGGTGGTTGCACAAAAGTACCTGCAGTAGGCTCGTGCGTCTGTTCATTGGCTGGCTCGTGTGATTTTCTCGTCGTACAGAAGAACGGGGGGCGGTCCATCATCACCAGCTAGAGAGGGGGGTGGTATCCATCATCATTCGCTAGAGGGAGGGGTGGTGTCCATCATCAGCTAGCGAGGGGGGTGGTATCCATCGTCAGCCGTGAGGGGGGGGGGCTATCCATCGTCATCAGCTAGGGAGGAAAAAAAAA